AAAAAAATTGTGTGATGTGTATGGAGAAAATGTATTGACAGAACGACAGTGCTAAAACTGGTTTACAAAATTTCGTTCTGGCAATTTCAATACGGAAGATGCACCACGTTCTGGATGGCCAGTTAAAGCCAATGAAAACAAAATAAAAATGAAATCACTAAGAGATTAAATTTGTCAAATTAAACTGTTTATGACTACTTGAAACAAATTGGTTTCATTTTAAAGCTTGATGTATGGGTTCCACAATGTTCTTAAAGAGAGATGTTCTCTTTGGTGGAATTTTAAGGAATTTTTTTTGGAGCTTTTACCAGACAATTTAACAATTTATTCGAAAGTGTACTACCATTGAGTAAATAAATTGAGTAATATCATCAACAGAAAAGGCGGCCAGAATTGATTGACAAAACAGGTGTAGCGTTTTACCACGATAATGTCCAATTTCACACAAGTTTGGTAACTTGCCAGAAACTGTTATAACTTAGATGGGATGTGCTATCACACCAACCATATTTGCCAGATCGAGCACACTCAGATTATTACTTGTTCTGGTCTATACAAATTTTATTAACTGTAAGACATTTACTTGAAATGACAATGTCAAAAATCACTTGAATGAGTATTTAGTAAGCAATGACCAAAACTTTTATGAATGTGAAATCATGCTACTACCAGAAATGATGACAACAGGTATTTGGCTAAAATGGTCAATATATAATTCAATAAAACATTTATTATAAAAATATTGTGTTTTTTTTCATGGAAAAATCAAACCTACTTTCCGAACAACCCAATAGTTTACTATACTGAGGAATGAGCAAAGTGTCAATAGATCTGTTGGTGGTGGCATATTGATGATAGCGTCAATCTTACTGATGATGTAGCCTAAATATTTGATGGAATCCTTGAAGAATGTGCACTTCTCCAGATTCGGAACCCATGTTTGTGGATATGAAGGAAAACCTCATGGAGATGTCTGTGATAATCATCCTCATTGCCACTAACAATGACTTTATCATCATCTAGATAGCAAAGGCAAACAACAGTCCCAAGGCCAGGAGTCCATAACAGGTTGGAAGATGCCCAGAGCCAACTTCATTCCAAATGGAAGACGTTGGAATTCATAGAATCTGCAGTGTGTTGCAATATTGCAGAGTTTCTTGGAAGTGTCTTTGAGTTCCATTTCCATATAGGCATCAGAAAAGTCTATTTGTGAGAATGTTTGACCACCATTGAGCTTGGAGAAAATATCTTCTGTAAGTAGTAACAGATGTTGATTAAGCCAGAATGTGTCATTGAAACCCACTGAGTAGTCTGTGCACATTCATGATGATCTGTTCAGTTTTGTAATTACTATTATGTGAACAATCCATTTGACATAGTCAATGGGTTTGATGACTCATGTTCTGCAGGCAATCGGGTTCCTCTTCCACTTTCAGTTGAGAGGTGTATGGAACTGATCTGGCCTTGAGTTTGACAGGTGCGACATCCAGCTTCAACATTAATGAGCTTTTTGTTACCTTGCAGAGTCCCAGTCCTACCTCAAAGACTTCTGGAAAGATGCATTGCAACGATTTGATGACTTGAAGCTCATTGTTTGACTTCTGACCAACGCTGACATTATAGACCTTAGCAGCAAAAAATTGAAAGTGGTGCATAGCATTGATCCTGAGGAAGTTGATAGCTCCTTTCTTTGCTATATAGAACAGTTCTTCTTTGCAGACTTTGTTGTAACAGAAGGTGGTATGTCCTTTCCCTAAAAATATTGGCAAAAGAGTACTTCCATTATTAGATTTGGTTCTTTCTGGTGTGGGTCATCCAATGTCATCATATGTCGTTTCATTAACAATGTTAATTTCAGAACTGCTGTCAAGATAGAAGTTGACTGCATGTCCATTAACCTCAATCAACACTTTAAGCAGTCATCAAACGTTTAGAAAATTTTGAATAATTCCTACCCTGATGGAGCACACTTGCTTTTTCTTTTGTGGTTGTCAACATAATTTTTCCAAACGTCCTACATGATTGCATTTTTGGCATTTGTGGCAGTCTTTGTACCAATGCCACTCACCACTACATTGCTTGCAAGATTTCAGTGAATGATTTGCTCTCTTGGTCTTTTCTTCCTTAGGCAAAGCCTTGGCGCGGATGTTATTAACAAGACATTCTGTTTCCTCATACAATTTGTTTTCAGAATGCATCGCTATAAACTCTTTGCAGTCATTCGAATCATCGAATGTAATGCTTTCTCTATTTGAATTAAGCTTCTGGAGAATTTTAGCATGTAGTGACTCACGGGCTTTTGACTTATGTCCAATGAGAACAACGAGACAAAAGAACTGTATTTCCATCTGAGCATGGATGTTATATTGTTGCCGGGCTGCTGTCACTCGGTTCTTCGTGAAATGGCGAAAGTCTTTCACCATTGTTAATTTCCAATGCACAAATAATCATAGTGGTCTGTAAAGATTGAACATTTCTTGCTAAAAAGTTGATGGAAACGTGAAGTAGTTTCCTCATAGTCAAAGTCTGTAATACACTTCAGTATACAGTATTTATTGTACTCGCTGAAGGTGAATGCAGAAAGTTTAGTCATAAGAAACTTGACTTTCTCCTGGTCAGCCATCTTGGATGCTACACAGTCCAAGGAGAACTCAAAATGACGTAACCATTTGTTGAATTTTTAGTCATCATCTTCAGTGGGTTGGAATTCTGGTTCCTGAGGATGTTGATGAAGGTGATGAGAAGGTGTGTGTGTGTGTCTGTGAGAACTAATGTCTTTGATAAGTTTGTCCTCTGAATGACATGTGGCCTCCTGTTGTTGATAGGATGCTTCTTGTTGTTCTACAAGTAATGATTTTATGAGTGATTTCACTAATTCCAGGTCTATCGCCGTATCCTTAATCCTCACTGTCACTGTTACGATCTTATGGTATAAAAAGATCTCTAACACTAATCGTAAAATTTCCATTTAATCTCTCACAAAGAGCTACATGTTAGTTGGTTATGACAGTCCGGAATGGACTCCAGATACGTATTGCTCGTTCAACCGACCCAAACAAAAGACATCCCTGAATCTCCCACCCACAAGCAGGTGTAACCTGCTCGGACCCCTGGTCATCAGGCTTTCACACATGCAAAAACAACCAACCCAACAAATATAATTAGTATTCAAAAAATAAATTATGCAATACATTTGAATAAGTAAGGTGTATTATTCTAGCTATAACTTGCTTCTCTGTATCTGACATTTACATAGTTCTTTTCTTCCTCTATCAACAGTGACTATTGAAAGTGTTCCTATTTCTTGAAGATACTGATGAACTGCTTCAATAGTATTCAACCTGGATTAATTAATTGAATGAAAGAAAATAAAAATGAGCTGTTTAATAAATAAATTGTGATTAATAAACAAATCTATTTACTGATATATCTTATAATTATCAATTTTCTGAAACCATGTTTTCTTAATTTCTATGATTCACAAACCCAAGTTGTGCTACTATTTTAACACTTGGTGGTTTTCCATCTTTATATAGTTGATATGAGCACTATTGCACGTTTCGGGCATTACCCCTCTTCAGTCAACTAAATATTAAGAAAGTATAACTTTCTTAATACAGTAGGGCGTTGTTTATCCGAATCAATTGGGGACTGGGGTTGTTCAGAAAATCGATATTTCGGATAACCGATTATGTATGAAAAAATATATTAACCTACACCATATTGAAATTTTTCTCTGTTGCGTGTCGCTTCGTGTTGAATTTTCGTCGATGTTAAGCCTAACAAAGACTATTGTATCGTTAAAAATTATTTTTTTATTTTGTACAAACAAAATAAATATATTGAAAAATATAAAAACAATAATAATTTAGTATCAAAAACGTAAAATATTTGAGTAGCCCAAGACATAGTCAAAGATTGCAGCGCCACAGCACTGGCGAAAATTTAAATTTGCCGACTGGAATTCTTTCGAATAATTGACGTTTCGGATAAACGACGCTCTACTGTATTTCCAAAATTAAATGTAAAATAAATAAATAAATAAAGTAGAGCATCGATTATTCGACCCCTGATCAACTGTCACATCAGTTAACCGACCACGTTCTAGTCGGCAAATTCAGATATACACTGGTGATGTGGCGCTACAATATTTGGCTGTCTTGGCTACTTTAATATTATTTTTGTTAAATTTTGCATGTTTTAGCTGGCAACACTGTCTCGACCATGAAAGGGAGGCCAGTATTTAAACGAGGCTTAATTTTTTAACTTTTAACAATACAATAGCGACGATTATTATTTTAAAAAATTTTGTTAGGCTTAACATTGATGAAAATTCAATGCGAAGTAGGTTAATAGCGATGTACTAATATACTAATTACATGGGATATACTAATATACTATGCTAATAATGTATTTTTTCATACTTTTCAGTTATCTGTTTTTTCAGTTATCCGACCAACTCCAGTCCCCAATTGAGTCGGATAATCGATGCTCTACTGTATATATACATATATATATATAAAACACCAATAATTCAATAAAACTATTAAAATTTAATACATAAATAAACATTTTTGACTATATTCAGTGGTTATCATTAGGTTGTAGAACGGAATATCTAACATAAAATGTAATACACAAAATTTAAAAATAAAAGATGTTCTATTCTACAACTATTAAATATGGTTGAAAACATAGTTTATGTATTAAATGTTTAATATTTTTATTGGATTATTGGTTCTTTTTGTGTTAAATACAATTCTTTCATCCAGTTTCATCTATAGATTGGTGTATATTAACATAAAATACAATTATCAATATAAATAGAAACAAATATGGTTTAGATTCCAATACTTCTTTATGTAGAGACAAAATATAAATATCAATACAACACAAAATGTTTTCAAAATTTCTCTCTTTAATTTCAGATAAGCTTGTTTAATAATTACACTTTAATTTTAATAATAATGATTTTAGACTCATTTTAATTTACAACTTACCTCTGCATATTGTGGTCTTTCAAATTTATACAGTAGTTGGCTTCCTAGCATTACATTAAAATATTCCTTAATTCCATTTGTTACTTCTAACAATGCACTTTCTCTAAAATAGTTATAATAAAACTTAATAAATACATGTAATGCAATTTAAAATTGACTTACAACAAAAGAAATATTACTTATTAGGAGATATTCCTCTTCCAGATGTTTTGTGCTTCATATATTCATTTAATATCTCCTCGACAGTTATTCGAGCAGGCAGTTGAACAAGCTATATTTTAAATATAATATAATACATTACAAAAAAAAAAAAAAATTGAAATAAAATAAGTTTGTTACTTTTTTTTTATAATTTAAGTCTTTGTAAATTTGAAAATTAACCTTTTTCTGACGAGTAATTAAGTCCCAGTCATCGACAAGCCACGGTTTCAATTCATCTGGCATTCGTACTTTAATTTCAACTCTGGTTAAAAATGCTTCCTCCTCAGAAATAATTAAATTATATCAGATTATCAGAAAAATTTTGTTTTAATATTACTAGACATATTGTAAGAATATTTACGGTCTCTACGTGTGGATCGAGTCGTCTCTTCTTCCGAAGATTTTCTGCCGTTCCCTGTTCACTCTGCTGACTGGTTGATGCGGAACCCCCTGACCTTCCACCCTGTTGCACTGACAAGATAATGATATGTATGAGGAAATAATAATAATAAAATATAAACTTTTGCTTTAGATATATATCTAATTTGAATAGAAAATGCCTTTCATAAGATTAAGTCTAATACTTATTAAATATACTAATGAATTCAGCAGTTATCGTCAGCTTTTGATACAAACAAATGACATTTGAATGGGTTAGTTTTGTCATAGAATATTTGATTGAATTTGAAAGATAGGCAATTTGTATCTATGAATCACATCTTTACATTTAAGTTAATGTAGCATGAAAACAAACTTAAAGCTTACTTTTATAGAAATTTAATTTATTAAAATTTAAACATTTTCAAAGTTTTATAACATTACAATATCAGAATACCTTTAAGGATTCAAGTTAACATTTAGTCAGTAGTATGGATTTATGTTCAAGTTAACACTTTACCATAGAAAAATGAGCATAAAAATATCCAGTGACACATTGCTTAACTTTTCTGGCAACATTTAAAACTGATTGTGGCACCATCTATTATGATATTTTACTAAAAAATTTATACATAATTATTATAAAATGGCAAAAAGCTTAATTTTGAGGAATGAATGAGTTTTATAAAAAAAATTGTAAATGCTAATAATGAGTAAAATCTTCATTAAGTCCAGATATGACACACAATCCCCTCAATCTTCAACCACCAAATTTTAGCAGCATAAATCCCCTTAATAAACAAACTTCCATGCAAAATTTCACAAATGTTTGAAAAAACACACGTGACTGCAATGCTGGAGCAGTGCATACTCATCATGTTTACTAACACGTGTAAATGTTTATATGCAAACAGATCATTAAATGTTCCATGAATAAAAAACAAGTGTAGGCTTGTAATATATCTATATGTTCACCTATCTGTTCTTGAAAGTGATATTGATGTCAAGGAAGTAGGCATCAGTGTTGCTGTATTGGTCTAGTTTTAATAACAAGTGAAATGAATGGTTAAATGTGTACAATAGTTTGCTTATATCAGCTTAGACTTTCATATAAATAGAATATCATCCACATAACACGTGTATAGGATGATATGTAGTATAAACTCAAGAACCTCAGTGCCTCTATAGCTTATTATCAAAATGTTAACAAACAGTAAATGTAAAATTGACACAAGTAGTGCTCCAGGAATATATTCTATCTCTAATAATATTAATAATAGGTTTGATCATTGCCTAACTTATGTTGAAACAACAAACAGATCTCTGTCCTAAAGAATCAGTACAATATTAATATAAATACAGTGATACCTCAGTTTTTATCTATAATCTGTCTGAAAACAACTGGCGAAATCCAAGGCAATTATTTCCATATGAATCAATGTAAATCCAATTAATTTGTTCTAGACACTCCAAAATACACATTTTATAAAGAATAAATATAGTAACTATATTACACTCACTCAGCACTTGCTTGTAAACTCAAAAAAACACAACACCTTAATTTGCTGAGAAAACTTTTAATGAAAAGCTAACGTTTTCAGCCAACTCTATTGGCCATCATCAGGCTAAGCTTTTTCGAATACAAAGAAAATAGAACAAAAATTTTAAATACAAAAAAACAAAATAACGAACGAAACATATATATATATAAATAAATGTATAAATAAAAATAAAATAAAATAAAAACTCTTATTATAAAATATGTATATGAAAAAAAGCATAGGATAATTAAACTAAAAACGTAACACAATAATACATTATGCTAAATTCTATAAACCGCAAGATATGCAAAAAAACACTAAAAACAAGGCATTAAGATCTGTCCATTCGCTTGATTAAGTATTTCCAGGCGGAAGGCAACCCTTCAGCANCTCATTACAGTTTCAGAAAAAGATTTTGTAAACAGTTATGTCTAGTAAAGAAAAGTCTTTTTTTATTGTTATATAATTCATTTTTTTACGTGAATTTTTTTGTGGTAGTTTTTGGCAATACCCCCAAAAGAATTTAACAGATATATCTGTCCTTCGCCACTGCCACACGATCGCTCTGGATGGATATATCCGCCCTTTACTGCTGAGTGGTTAATACAAAGTACAAGGCATTTTTTCAAGAAATTAAGTAAATACTGATTGTTCAATTGTTTTTTTAACATTATTTCTAATTTAGTATTTCCACAATTGTTCTGTTTACTTTTTGACTGATGTCACTATTTATAACCTATTAGTGTTTGAGATCACTAAGCTAAAAGACTGAATGTTTCTTGCTTCAAACACAATAAAGTGTTATAAATTAAGACCCTTGGCAGTTTTCTCATCTTTTATTCAGTTGATATGTGTGAAATTATACACGTTTCAGGCTCCTAAGCCCCTCATCAGCCAACTGAAAATTAAAAAAAACATTAACTGAATGTTTCTGTTAAGATAACAAAATATCAAGATAAGAGTACACAAAAATGCTGTAACAGTTGTTTCAGTTAAATGAAAATTGATTAAGTTATAAAGACACTTCTATAATTTTCAACTCTATTGGTGATCTACATTAAAGTTATGTGTAAAAAATATATTCACTTATTTTTTCATCTTGTATAATTTTACTGAAATATTTATAGACTAAAATATCAAAGATAAAAATATAGGTTTGAATCAGTTATTGTATTTTCATTAACATTTTGTCATTTTAATTAATTAATATAATTTAACTATGGACAAGTTTTGTACTACAAACAACTTTTTTTGAATGTAATGCAAGGATCGCATTGAAAAAATTTTTCAAAATTGCCAACTATTTCACCAGTTTTAAATACTAATTAATGTAAGTGTTGGTAGCCTTATCAGTTTGGAGTCTGGTAAGCAAAGGTAACATGTTAAGTAGTTAGTTAGAAACAAATTATTTTTTGAATAATTTTTTAATGAACGATTCTGAATAACATATTTGATCACAATGTTTAAACGATATTTCATATATTCTGTCATGTCAAAATTTTTATGATTTAGTCTAGTGAACAAAGATCAGAGTGAAAAAAAAATGTCATCCCAATGCATGAAACTGCCTTTGGTTCTCAATGTAACTTCCTGTTTTCCTGTCCAAACTTGCCACATGACATCATGACATCGTTAGGTATGTGGTGGACGAGACTCCCATCGCACAGGAGCTCAACATTCTGCCGTTTTCCCTGAAGCATGCTTTGAGATTCAATTTCATGCTGAATGTCAAAATGAGACTATGATTTTTATCATCAGTATTATATTTTTATTGTCACTTTAACAAAAATATAGTCAAGTGGTGATATTGGCACTATACAGAGCAACCCCTATAATGCAGATCCACATAAGATGATTAAAAGACATTGGGAAAATTGAATAAATAGTAGTAAATGCTTAAAAGTTATTAGTAAAGTACTTACTGTAAGTAAATATTTCAAAGAAAAAGCATTTACTTTTTTATATGTGAATAAAAGTTTATTTTTACTTATCAATAAATGCTGACTACACTATTAAAATGGCATCACCATGTGAAGTAGGAAGCCAGCTCATCTTTGTTGTAAACGTTTTCAAAAAATATTATTATTATTAAATAAATCACATGTTTCTGCTATTAAAAGAAGAAAAAAAAAAAATCCCTCTGCAACAAACAATTGAAAAACTGAAGATAAATCATGCAATTGACATGAATAAGAAACAGCTCATGAAGAAGCTGAACAACATGAAAATTGATTTGATTTGATGGATGGAGAAATGAACTAGACTGTAAACTGTGTAGTGCAATGGTATTCAAACATTTCAACAGTGCAACCCAAGGTAATTTTCTGTGATCCCATTTGGGGTCATGGAAAATTATCTTGGGTACCACTGGAATAGTGGGTAAGTAAACAACAAAGTAGGGTTTATGGACTGTCTCAATTTAACAGAACACATCATCAGTTACTGAGGGCATTTTGAATATGTTACTGTTGACTAACAAATTACATTTTGTTAATTCTAGGTTCCCAGTGTGTAGATATATTGTCTGACCTCAGCAATCAAAGCTGAAGCAATTCTAACAATGAGAAGTAAGAAAGGACTTAAAGAACAGTCTGTTACATCCTCAATACATTTACCACCCCCCAGAAGTGAAAAGAAAAGATATACTTCTAGACAGAGGAAACCAATTTCTGGAATAGCATCAAGCAGCTATCTCACATTCTGTTGGATATCAGTTATATTAGAAAATCTTTGTCCTTTCAGCACAGCTTTTAATTTCAGAAATAGCCAAAAATCACAGGTAACTAAGTCAGGTGAATAGGCAGGATGATCTAATTGGAAAATTGCTTTTTTGACCAGAAAATGTCTCACAGTAAATGCACTGTGACTTGGCATATTGTGGTGATGAATGATCTACTTGTGGGGCCACAGTTTGGGTCTTTTTCTTTGAATCTCTGCACTACTTTTAAATAGCATTGTTGGTTGACTGTTTGTCCCTGTTCAATAAATTCTTGGTAGACTCTTCCTTTGTAATTGAAGAAACATGTCAGCATGGTCTTAAACTGTCAGTGAAACATGTGCGTCTTTTCGGGGTGCAGTGAAGTTGGGGATTTCCATTGCATGCTCTAATATTTTGTTTCTGGGTTGTACTGTAATATTTCAGTATTGCCATTTGCCGATTTTTCATATAAATTTTAATATTAATACATTGCTCTAAATTTTGGTCACCAATTTTTATGCCAAAGAGTATAAGCGAATAACTATTACCTTCCCAAAAGCTAATTAACAACCAGCTCTATTGACTTGAAATTTATGCACATACAGTATTAGTTCAAACTTATTCAAGCACAAATGTGCATGTCATTTTGATATAATTATGTCATGGGCGACACTATGCAGCCATTTTGGGAATTAAACTGTTACACTTTGTACATCTTTGGACTTCAATATAGCTTAACATTCTGCACTTCATTTCCAAATTTGGCTGTTGTGAACACATCCAGGCCAATGCACATTGACACTAGTAAACCATTCATTGGCATTGCATGTGACTGCATGCTGAATGTTGATTGTCAAAACTCCTTTCCTATTAATAAATTCATTCTCATGAGAGACAACATTTCAAGTATCACATGTATATGGTCAAGTGCTCCAATACACTTTGAGAATCATTTTTGCAATCCTGTTTCACAGTCTTGTTTATGAAAACTTTATCCAGTCCCCTCCCTGCCTTTCAATAACACAGTCAGTTACCTGTATAGCAATAAATGTATAATAGTTTACTGTAAATCTTTCAAAGTTACCTGTTTAATAGTCGTATTGATGTGTTTGGGGAACAATGATGTCATCTGTAATCTCTGTCTAAAATTCTGGATCAGATATGTATCTTAGGAATATCATCATTTCAATTTTGAAGAAAAGAACACCTCACCTTGTCTCATTTTTATAACAAAGAAAATAGTTGAAAATCCACTTCATGTTCTCTTGATCAAATAAATGTAATTTTCAAACATTGGTATTGGTACTTATTGTATTGTTTCTGAGTCTATACTGCTTAGTTTTGCTTGGCAATATTGTTGATACAACAGAGTCATTTTCCCTACATTGAATATATGTATGAAAAATATATGAATATGAAACTTTTTACTTGGATTTTATAAGTATCTGTAAGCTACTTTTTGAAGTATTTATGTAAAAAAACAAAGCTTTTACTTATTTTTACTTTCCCAGCTGTTATACATAACACACGGAAGGAAAGTATGGCAAAAAGTCAAAAATGACCTCAGGATTTACATTTTAGGACTGTGGGACCTTGAGATGTTGAGAAATGGCAAAAAAATTTGGGGATTTTTTTTGTATGAATGGATGTTTGTGTCTGTGTGGGGTGGGCATGATTTTGTTCACCCTCTTTGAAGCTTAATAATTCCCATGCTTTTTGTCAAAAATTTCTGAAATTTTGCAGGGAGGTTTGTTTATTAGGAGGATTGATGCTATTAAAATTTGATGATTAAAGATCAAGAGATGGGGAGATGAATTGTGCCAAGTAGAGTCAGTCTTAATGACAATTTACTTGTAATTAGCATTTACAATTTTTTTATAAAACCTATCTCTACCCTCAAAATTAAGCTTTTAGCCATTTTATAATATTTTTTAAAAAACTTATTTATATTTTTAACTATCATAACAGAGGATGCCATCAAATGTTGCTGGGAAAGTTAACTCATAAATCTGTGAAAAATAATTCAGCAATAAGTATTTAGTAATTTTAATAATCAGTGTGAATAAAACCAAGCTTTTGCTTTCACTCTTAGTAAAAGCATTTATTAATATTTATTCATCAAACTTCTAGTAGACACTCGAAAAGTAGTAGTAAAAGTATTTACTTATTTTATTCAACTGGCCTATTGTATGCAGAGTTTGCTTAATGTGCTGCTTTCAAAGAAAATATCTACTTAAGAAAGCATTAGCTGACAACTATCTGTAATAATATTACTGGCAAATCACATCGTGTCATTGTGTATATTATTAAAATCAGAGTAAAAATCAAACGTTACTTTTTGGTTTATTTGGCTTCTCTTGAGAAGGAGTAGAGGACCGTTCTTTCTCAGGTTCTTTTTTTGGCTTAACGACTTTGGTCTTCTTAGTTTTTCTGCAAGAAAGGAAAATGAGAATGTACAAATTTAGTTATGACAACAGAGTTTGTTCAAATAAATTTACAGTTTGTGCAATGTACAAATTTAATTTATATTAACCAAAAAATTTGAATGATTCAAAATTATTCAAATATTTAAATGAGTTTTTTATATTTTTTTATAAAAATAAAAGATTACTGTTAATTAATTAAATTACAAAATTTGGTCGAAAGATAGTGATTATGATGCCATCTTGTGTTATTCATTATAATTCTTAACACAATTTAGTGACATACCTTTAGATCTTTAGAACAAATTCTGCAATTTTATTAATAAAAATTAACCTTAATTCTGGCATAATATAATTTTGAATTTTTTACAGTGAACAATTTACTTACAAAAAATTTATCTAAACTTTGTTTTTATAACGATTCTATTGTAATTTAAACTACAGTTTTTAAAATAGATAACAAAAGTAAATAATAAATCACATATCTAAAGGCAAAAGAATAAAGATGGTACAGAGTGGTAAAACTTACTACTTATTCTGAATCCCTGTATCTGTACTACACTAAAGCATGAAGTTAAATTGAACATTGTCACTTTTCACATTTTGAATCTCTTCAATGACTTAAAGGTAACAGAGCTGGAACTGAGTTCAAAAACCAAGTAATTCTACCTTTCAGGACTTTTACAGTAAATGTTTCTGGCTTTCTTGACAAGCCTTTCTCAGGTCTTTCAAAAATTCTCCAATAAAATTTTCTAAAATGGAATGCTAACAGGTGCCAAATACATAAAAATTCAAAATTTAAAATATGGAATCTGGTTATTCCATATTTTAAATTTTGAATTTTTTGCTTTATGGGACCATGTATTTCACATAATGTCAGGATTTAAGAAAATGTTCCAAAAGTGATGTTTATAATTAATTGGTCAGTAGACACAAGAGTGCCTACTGCACCAATCTGCTGATATCATGTACAGTAGAGCCTCGATTATCCGACTCAATTGGGGACTGGGGTTGGTCAAATAATTGAAAAGTTGGATAACCGAAAAGTATGAAAAAATCCATTATTAGTGTAGTATATTATTATATCCCATGTAATTAGTATATTAGTATATTGCTATTAACTTACTTCACGTTGAATTTTCATCGATGTTAAGCCTAACAAAAATTTTTTAAAATAATAATCATCGCTATTGTATCGTTAAAAATTAGAAAATTAAGCCTAGTTTAAATACTGGCTCCCTTTCATGGTCAAATGAATGTTGCCAGCTAAAACACGTAAAAATAATATTAAAGTAGCCAAGACATAGCCAAATATTGTAGCGCCACATCACTAGCGGACATTTGAAATTTGCCNCCCTTTCATGGTCAAATGAATGTTGCCAGCTAAAACACGTAAAAATAATATTAAAGTAGCCAAGACATAGCCAAATATTGTAGCGCCACATCACTAGCGGACATTTGAAATTTGCCGACTAGGACGGTCGGTTAATTGGGGGTCAAATAATTGAGGCTCTACTGTAATAACAATCTGCAAACTATACCATTTTAAAAATCCTGACAACACATATTCAGAACTTGAATAGAAATTATAATTAAGTTTAACAATAATTTCAGATATCATTTTTCTGTTTCTATATCAAAATTACTTTTAATGTATTCTAATTGAAGTAAAGTAAGGTAAACATTAAAATGTGTATTATTCATAACAAAACTTCCTCATCTAAATAAAATTTCTCAACGTAAATCATTAAGAAAATAATAATTAGGGTGAGTGTGGCGCTTGCCCTTGAGTAATGGCATTAAAGTCCGATAGCAATTAGGTTAAATACAATGGAAATATAATTAACATCAAATAACAAAAATTACCAAATAATAACAAATTAACAAGACTATGAAATTAATAAAATACAGTAATAAAAACACATTGTAAAAATCATGGCCACATCAAAATTCAAAAAAAGACCTCCATGTTCACTATCCATGCCATAGATAGTAAACATGGAGCCAATATATGAGCCAAACAAAATAAAAGTGCTGTTTATCTGTCTATTGTAAAATCTTATTCTAATTCAAGCTGAATGTTGTTGTGATATAACTCATACAAACACACGTGGCAAATGCAATCTATTACAGGAAATTTTAAAATGACTGGACCTGATTTGATGTGAGACATCATAAAACATCCCATGTGAACTGACATTTAGCCAGCCATAATATGCATTTTGGATTGATGAAATAAGACAAGAAACACATTGGTGATCTGCCAAGGTAAAGTTACAATAATGGCATGCTGCTGGTCTTCATCCTTCAAAAGGTATTGTTGAGTCAGCCAAGTATGTCCAATTCTCAGCTGGGTAAAAATTATTTCCAATTTGTCACACATTTCTGTAGATATCCAATTTTATATCAAAGGCTTGGTCTCATATAGTTTATTGTGAACTTGCTCATTTTATATGTTACGACATCTCTCTGTTAACCCTTTTTTAACAACTTTTCTATCATATTGGCAAGCGCCAAATCCGACAGATGGCGCTGTTTTTGAGCCAAGATGGCTGCCGAAACAGGTAAGGAACCGATCATGTGTTTGTTCAGTGCCTGAGCCGATTCAGTTTCTATCTGTGACGACTACTGCGAGGATCAAATGGAGAACAAATCATTGAATTTATGTCAAATTCTAGACTATATTGGCGAGAGGAAACGTTGTCTTGTAGAAGGTGAAGCCGTTTTGGATATATGAGATGTACACACACACACAAAACATACCAGTAATGTATGCTACAAACTTTTGACTGGCCTATGTCTTATAAGTGCTGAATGACTCAGCAGGGTAGCCTTCAGATTGGCACTAATTTTAACTATTATGATAAATAAAACTGTTTTTATATTGGAACATGGTGTATACTGCTTAAAATATTTAAATGCTTCTCACCTGTTAACGTGTAACAAACATGCTATCACATGTTTACAAAAACCAGACAGCCCGCTTTGCACGTGCATTCTCCCTGTAATTGAGATGTATTAAAATGCCAATATCTGAGATTGCAACACTAAAGCAACAACATGAGCTTCGGTGTTGTTGTTAGAGTTTAATCCACAAACTACGATGTGCCCAGCATCCAAAACGGCTTCACCTTCTACAAGACAACGTTTCCCGTCGCCAATATAGTCTAGAATTTGACATAAATTCAATGATTTGTTCTCCATTTGATCCTCGCAGTAGTCGTCACCAATAGAAACTGAATCGGCTCAGGCACTGAACAAACACATGGCCGGTTCCTTACCTGCTTCAGCAGCCATCTTGGCTCAAAAACAGCGCCATCTGTCGGATTTGGCGCTTGCCAATAGACTACAATATGAGATTAATATGTAAAGTACTATATTATTTTTTTCGACTTTCCAACGATTATCGACACTACTGTGTGCCGGAAATAGCCGTTCCCTAACGGGTACTTTACGCGGATTCGCGTTAGTGTGCCAGGCCTGGACTTTAAGCGTGCACCGAATTAAATAATGACAAAGTTTGTCAATAACAAAATCAAATATTTAATTAAACTTCTAGTAATAAACTATATACAGTATTTAGTAAAAATCAAACAATAATTTATTCAATGAAATTCAACAAGAATCAATCCGACAAACTCAAATCAATCTATTTCTAACTTAATTCTATTCCCCTTTGGAATTCGACAAAATCAAAGAATTAACTTATAAACAATAATTCTTATAAATTAAAGATCCTAATCGTCACCTCAATATACTAGGAACCTATTTCCTCAAACTCTCAAGACTTTCTATAATCGTCGATCCACAAATCGAATAACTTCAAAATCCTATCGGACACCTCTCTCTTTCACTGCTACGAAGCTCACCAAAGCTCGTTGCTATCAGGAATTCACCTCGTTCGTTTTCACTTGAGTTAGAGGCTTTATAGTGTGAGGTGACGTCACAATTCTGAATGAGCTCACTCTCCTCATTTACATACTTATCTGTAACATTAAATTTTTCTTGTTTATCTGGCAGATTATTTTCCGACAATACTTCGCTAACCTTTTACATTATTCTTTTTAACAATTATCGGGATGCTTTATTATTTTAAGGTTTAGCGATTCCTAACTGGGTTGTGGGGTCTTCCCCCCCCTTTTTCTCGGTGCGGACTTACTTTTTTCCGCTTGGGAAGCGCAAGTGTGCGCGAGTTTTTCTACGGCGCTTTTCTTTCGTCGGTGAGTTGGTTTTTCTTCTATTTTTAAGTTACTAAGGTGAATGGTGAGGAAACCTTCGTCTTAACTAAACATAAGCCCCAAACAAAATATAATGAAAGCAAAATAAAAGTAAAATAAAATTAAAGCTCAGACTTGGTTCCTTACAAATAGAATCTGTATGCAATACAGATTATATCATCTTTAAAGTACCTGTAAATGAATTCTATATACGAATCAATAATCAATCATTTTATATTAACTTACATCCATTTTTTATTCTTTTGTTATTATTACTTTTATTTTTTAATCTCTTTTATTAATGTAATTTAAATTCATTTAAATGTCTTTCACAAGTGTAATTTTTGTTATATTTTTTAACTGTAAAAATAACAATGTATATTTGTAAACAAAGTTATAACTATAATTAGTTATGTACATAATTTTATTATTTTGTAAATGTTCTATTTTTGTTTTATCACAATTGTTGTTGAATTATTAGTATAGCTTTTAATATAAGTATAATTGTTAAAAAAAAGGTGAAAATCAACTAACTCTCTATGGATATTTCCTTTAACTGTATAGTAAATACCATATTTACTCATGTATACGATTTCATTCATTTTTTACTGCTTCAAAAATTAGGTCATCCTATAAGTGTGTGTGAAGGATTCTTTGCATTTTTGAAATAATTTCTGTAAACCGTGTATAGTTCATGCTGCCATTATAGGTCTACAGCAGTGTTTCTCAACCTCTAATGAATCGTCACCCCATTCAATAAAACCATTACATAGTATCGCCCCTGTCACTT